TAAGCTCAACAAAGATGCGTTCATAGTGTGTATATGAACCGGGATAAAACAAAAACAAAGGAAATTCCTCGTGTTTATGTGAGGAGAAAGGATTATTTGCTACACACAGTATTATTCTTATTATTATCATCATTATTAGTTCTACTATTATTGTTGTTGATCCTGTTATTATCATAATTATTATCATTATTATTATCATTATTATCATCATTATTATTGCTATCTTTACTATCATTATTGTCATTATTACTACTACTGCTATTATCATTATTACTATTTCTATTATCATCATCATTATTATCACCATTAGAGAGTAAGAGAGAGGGTGAGAGAGAAAGCACCACTTTCCTTTGCGTTGGAAGTGAGAGCACGGAATGCGATAATATGTAACATTCTTTGACCTTGAGTAAGCTGGCAACACAGGCAGAGTTGCCAATTCGAGAACCAAACCACCTACAATGACGCTTTCTTCAGTCACTTTTATTTTCTAGATTGCTGTTTTAAGAATATTAACAATATTCTGTTTTATTGTATATATTGTAATGTTGTAACCTAAATTTCAATGTAAGCTATATCTCTGTTGCATAGTGCTGGAGCACTACCGTGAATACAGTGTATAACCAAACACTTTCTATGTGTTTAAAGTCTATAACTTATAAATATAGTACAAAGTACACACACACACACACATAAACACACACACACAGACACACACACATGCACGCACGCACACACACACACACACACATACACACACACACACACACACACACACACACACACACACACACACACACACACACACACACACACACATATATATATATATATATATATATATATATATATATATATATGTACATTTATGACGTATGATATTGCTTTCATTTATCATAAAGCATTATTTAGGTGGAATCGTATAAAATTGAAACATTGTGAATTACTCACTTTGGTTATTTAACAGCAGTGCAACGCAAACATGATTTTGTATTACCTGAAGTATTTTGGATTTCAAGGAAGAAAAATTGAAAAAATACACGACAAGAATCTTTCATTCACAAAACAGCAAACGCCGACAGACTAACGTATGTATAAAGTTCTTTTCATTTTTATACTTTCCTGTGACTGAAAAGCTCAACACCTCAGCGATTCTTCCAAAAAAATGTTTTGGTTCTAATTCGAGAAATGTAAAACTGCAGACATAATTATCTCAGATTTATTATCGTACGTTCAGAGACACAAGTGATGACGTGTTATAAAATCCGGAATCAGAGGATGAATATAATGCCCATTCACAAAACCAGGTCACGGTTAAGGTCGTTGTCAGTGCCTTCACCAGTGATGGTAGTGGTAGCGAGGGTAGTGGCGGCGACGGGGATAGTAGTGCTTGCGCTTGTAGGACCAGGGGTCAGCCACGGGGTCAGGGTCAGCCACAGGGTCAGCTACGGGGCTAGGGTCGGCCAGGGCGAGGGCGTCGGGCATAGCGCGAGCTGAACCCATCAGGCCACTCAGGGCTACGAACAGGGACAGTAGCAACGAAATCTGGAAAGGGGAAAATAACAAACCAGATATTAATACTCAGAGCTAATAGATTCTGATGAATAGGATAATATGCCATTACAAAAAGCAATATGCAAATAGAGATATTGCGCTGCATAAACTCCAACGAAAATAATACCTTTCCACAAGCCATGAACAAACCACAAACAAAACCTTAAGGAAACAAACACTTACGATCTTCATTATGAGATGATGTTCTTTCAAGATGCAATTGCAGGATGATGAACCTCTTCCTATGGGTCCTTATATACACAGACTCGATCACCGGATAGTGACCCGGGCTTAGAGCTCAGGCTTCCCATAGGAGGCGGGACAATCCCCTCTCCCGTGTAAGAAACTCCTGCAAAAAAGGGAACTTTGTTTTTTATATTACCTCGGTAGCTTCCAGGATTCCTATTGTCTCCATATCCATTACTGGTATTGTCAAGTGTATCCTTTAATAATTAAGAACTTTAATAATCAAGTCTTTATTCCTTTATGTGCATTTATACAACTCTTTATCTTGCCAGTAAACAACGCCACTTTGACATATCATTATTCTATCTCATATTTTTGAAACACGCACGAACGTGTAAGGAACTCGAGCATGATATTCACTCCCCTATAAGAATTTTCCCTTTTCCTACTAGGACATTCCAGACCTGATAATTTTCTATTTCATTATTTTCTTTTAATCTTTATTATTGATTTGCTATTTCTATATCTAAACATCCCTGACTCTCCATCTCAACATCATTTTTGCTAATATTTTTTTCCATTATGTCTCTAAAGGTAAATTAATTCATTTCTGAAAGTATATCGCTTAATGATTTCACTGCAACAATTGTGAAACGAAATCATACACTAAAATATCAATTAAATCTTTACCACGACAGACGAAATTATCAATGTGGCCAGCCTCATTAATATGCTGTTATCGCCAAAATTAGCTTGTACTGTTATTGTTATAGATGTACTGATAAATGTTGATATTATCATAACCATATTATGATAATTATCTTTAATAGTTTTTGTTCTCATTCTTGTTAGCATTATCGCTGTTAATACTGTGCGTAGTTGTATTGTTGTTGATGACGTATTGTCCATTATTGTTAATATCATCATCATCAATCCTCAGTCACCATCATTATCAATTATTCATCATCAAATATTGATAACCATCAATCAGCATTATCAGTCATCCATCATCACCATCAATCATTCATCATTATCATCATCCATTCATCATCATAAATCACCATCATCATCGTTAATCATCATCAATCATTAATCGTCATAAAAATAATGATAATGATAATCATCATTTATCATTATCAGACATTCATCATAAATCACCATCATCATCATTGATCATCATTCATTTAATCATTCATTCATCTTCATTATCACCAATCATTAATCATCATCATCATCATCAATCATTAATTATCGTTATAGTGATAATAAAGATAATAATAAACTTTATCATCATCATTAATTATCGTCATCATAATCACCATCATAATAATCATCACCATCTTCACGTATCCCACGTAATAGACTGAGAAAGAGATAGAGAGGATGATGAGTAAGATCAATTCATTTACACGCTGTTTTTTATCACCAATATCATCATCAAAGTTTTATTATTTTTATTATTTTTTTTTATCTTTCCAGGTAAGTGACCATCTGGAAGACAAAAATCAAAGATGAATAAGGTAAGTAATAATAATAGCAAAAAGATGTTCAAGAAATGGAATAATATATATACGTCCTTAAGAAAAAGCACTCGTGCGCGACATGGCTACGTAACATTTCAACAGCAAAACATAAGACAGAGTTGCTGTGAAGTACTCAAACACGGAATAATCGTACTATGTATTCGAAGGGAAATGAGGTAGTTATATAGTTCTTACACTTGTAATGTAGTAATTAGTCGTTTGATACTTGTTTGATGTAATCGACTGAGTGGTCATAGAATCTTTGGAAATTAGAAAAAAAATAATATACTAGATGGAAATCATATCAAATGTGCATTTATATATATTTTTTCTTTTTGTTTAAATTATTTTGGATGCTATCTCATTTGTTCTGCGTGTAGCATTAAGTTATAATAAAACAGTGAAGAAAATGAAAATACAAACGTATTTTCATGGGCTCTGTTTTAAACGCAATTGAGGAAAACGTGGGGGTACTTTATATCTTTTACAGGGGAAATATCCTCTCCCGAAAAGGAATAATCTGATCTCATTCTTTCTGTTTCATATCATGCAGAGTTTATCACATTCATCCATAAATCTCACTGACACAGTTGCTATAACGCACCTAATGTTTATCATTTTATTATTCTGCTTGTAAACATCTTCACAATCATCCATCCTTAATGGTACCTTACAAACAAGACAGAATAACTCCAGTGGAATTGTAAAGTCATTTGGTGCCTCAATAAACCAACTCCCAAGTTACGTTTCAAACAGGAAACCATAAAAAAGGGTGTTCCCTCGTGTATGGAAGGAGGGTAGGCTCTCTGCGGTAAATGTGTAAATAGGCAGTACAGGAATTCTCTTCCTACATTCTCTTCAATATGATCATTAGTGTTTGTTATTGTTGTTCTTGTTGATATTGATGTTGCTATTCTTCTGCTTCTGTTGTTGTTGTTATTGTTGCTGTTCTTCTTTTATCTTCATTTTTTTCATCATCCTTAGCTATTTGTCAACATGACTCCTTTCAATGTACTGATCATTATTACTACGATCTTCACCGTGCATTGTTTCAATTACCAAGTATACACTACAAAATGCGCACTCATGAATCCTAAGCAAGTGAAGACTGAAGGAGATATATATATAGAGAGAGAGAAAGAGAGAGAGAGAGAGAGAGAGAGAGAGAGAGAGAGAGAGAGAGAGAGAGAGAGAGAGAGAGAGAGAGAGAGAGAGAGAGAGAGAGAAATAGACAAGAGATAGACAGGTTGATATATAGAAAGATAGATAGATAGAGAGAGAGAGGGGGAGAGGGAAATGTATAAATACACAGATAGAGAAAGATAGAGATACAGATAGATATATAGGTAGATAGATAGATAAATAAAGAGAGAGGGGGAAGAGGGAATAATAGAGATAGACAGATAGAAAAAGATAGAGATAGAGATAGACAGACAGATAGATAGATGAATAGAGAGAGAGAGAACTAGAAAGAATGCATGATCCTCATCGTTTATACATTTTTCGGAAACTAAACGATCTGGAAACAAAAGGTGGATACGAGAAGAAATATACGGATGAGAATAAGAAAAGACAAGAAATAAAGAACTAGCCGAGAAAGAAGTGACATAAAGGATTAGAAATAGAAAGAATATTAGAAGAAAAGGGCGAGGGATTTCCCCGCGTGTATGGAGCGAGGGAGGGAACTCCGACCCCGCGCCCTCAGTGGGTATATAAGGCGCTATGGTGGAAGGGGTCGCCACATTGCAATCGCTCTGCAACACTTCGACACTCTCTCGTCGCATCATGAAGCTGGTGAGTCGCTCATCTCTTGTTTATATATAAATACATGTATATGTACACACACACACACACACACACACACACACACACACACACACACACACACACACACACACACACACACACACACACACACACACACACGTATATATACACACACACATACATATATATACATATATATATATATATATATATATATATATATATATATATATATATATGTACACACACATATATATATAAGCACATACATAAATATGTATATACATATATGTATATATATGCACATACACACACATGTATGTACATATATATATATGTATATATATATATATATATATATATATATATATATATATATATACATACACACACACATATGCTTAAATATATATATATATATATATATATATATATATATATATATATATATATATATAATATATTGATTTATTTATTTGTTTATATATATATGCATATACATATACATGTATATGATATACATACATACATATATATATATATATATATATATATATATATATATATATATATATATATATATATATATGTATATATATATATATATATATATATATATATATATATATATATATATATATATATATATATATGTATATGTGGGTGCGTGTGCGAATGAATACATATTTCTCATTATAAAATCTTATTAAAACAAGCGTTTGTCTTTTTTTTCTCTCATTCATCCTCCCGTCTTTGCAGATTTCACTCTTGATGGCCCTGGTTGTGGCCCTGTCTGGCCTCCTGGGTTCAGCTCGTGCCATGCCTGGCCCCTTCCCTGTGGCTGACCCCGTGGCTGACCCTGACCCCGTGGCTGACCCCGGGTTCTTCAAGCGCAAGCACTACTACCCCCGCCGTCGCTACTACCCCCGCTACCACCACTACCATCACTGGTGAACATGAATAAACGTTTGCCATTAACAAATAAACGTTTATTCCGACAGTGAATAGCAATGAACTTCGTCACAATGAACTTGAATTCAATATATCTTTCTGTAATCTTGGCGTAAAATAAAATCTTAATAGATATGGCATATTTTATCTCTTCTAACTCATGAAACACAGATGAATGTACTGCACACGCACGTACACACACAGACACACATACGCACCCACACACACAAACATACACATATACATACATACACACACACACACACACACACACACACACACACACACACACACACACACACACATATATATATATATATATATATATATATATATGTATATATATATATATATATATATATATATATATATATATATATATATATATATAAATATATACACACACCCATATATATATATATATGTATGTATATATATATATATATATATATATATATATATATATATATATATATATATACATATTTGTATTTATGTTTCTTTATACATATTTACACACACACACACATACACACACACACACACACACACACACACACACACACACACATATATATATATATATATATATATATATATATATATATGTGTGTGTGTGTGTGTGTGTGTGTGTGTGTGTGTGTGTGTGTGTGTGTGTGTGTGTATCATATACACACACAAACACACATATATACATGTATATATACATGTACATATACATATATATGTATATATATGAGAGGCTTCCAAAAAATCGTGGAAAGAGGACAGTATGAAAAAACGGTTTCAGTTATGATGTTTATTTTTCAATATGTGCTCCATTAACGTCAGTACACTTCTGCAAACGCTGATATTAACTTTCAAGTCCGTCTGAGTAAAACTGAGGGTCATGTGATCTGAACCATGTTTGAGCAGCATCTTTTTACATCTTCAACCGATAGAAAATTGGTACCATTCATTTTTTTTTTAAAGTTTGGAAACAGAAAACAAGTCGGATGGGACTAAATAGGGGCTGTAAAGTGGATGTAGGACGATTTCCCATCGAAATTCACGTAGCACGTAGCGGGTGCATTGTCGTGGTGGAAGAGAACTCGTTGATGCAGCTTTCCAGGGCGTTTTTTCTGATATGTTTTGATAATTTTCTCAAAACGTATTCATAATAAGCAGATGTTATTTTTTCCTTACTCAACCAGCAAAATCCCCTCTGCCATGACCTTTCCTTCTGAACGCTCAGATTTTGCTTTGACTAGTCCACTTCCACCCCTGGGCTGCCACTGCTTTGATTGAATTTTGTCCTCGGGATTGTACTGGTAGAGCCATGTCTCATTCCTGTCACAAGTCCCCATCCCACTTGTTCAAAATTTCCATTGAAAGATCTACCCTTGTTTGCTGAGATGTTGAGTGTGTCTGTTACAGATCCAGTGTATATATATATATATATATATATATATATATATATATATATATATATATATATATATATATATATATATATATATATATACATATATATATATACACA